GCCCGGGCTTTCTGGATTTCGGACGTCATGTCGTCCCGAGAGAAACGTACTTTGGCCCCAGACGTCCTTATTCTTGTCCGCTTCGGCCGTACCGCGAGGTGAGATCCGGACGGGCGCCTTGCTGGAATCCACACACTTGCATCAGTGGTTTTTTTCTGGGCCCATATGACGGCGCTGAATAGTTGACCGCGCTTGCCAGCCTGGGCCTCAGTGCCGCGGAACCATCGCCGCTCTCTCTTGTCGTTTCTCTCGGCCGTTCCTGCTTTTAAGCAGCAGCATCTGCCACCCATTGCCCGTTGAACCCTCCCTTCCCCGGGCCTCTATAAAATGCACAATGCAAAGAGACTCGTGGATATTCACAGACGACAACTGGCTCTCGTCAACTCAACATACTCAAAAGCATCACCATACACACCGAATTACAAGCCAATCCCAAACCCGAATCCATTCCGATAGACTCAGCCCCGTCCCAGATGGCCGGAGATAGAGCTGGATCAGCCCAGGCCGGGGCTGCAAACCCAGGAATCGGCTCGACGATATCAGTACCACGGTTTATCATTCTCACACTATCGTATATCCCCTCCCCCTTTCTCTTTATCAGACCCCAACTAACAGGCACAGTCTGAGTCTAGGCTTTTTCTTGGCCATCCTAGACTCGTCCATAGTAGCGACCAGCCTGTACGCCATCGCCGTCGAGTTCCGCGAGATCGAGACTATCAACTGGGTCCCGTTGGCCTACACGCTCTCGTACCTCAGCTGTGCCGTGCTCTTCGCCCGCATCTCTGATGTGATCGGTCGGAGGCCGGCCTACATGGCCGCCCACGTTATCTTTATCGCTTTCTCGTTCGCGTGCGCCCGCAGCGCCAACCTGCCGCAGCTGATTGCGTTTCGGGCGCTCCAGGGCGTCGGCGGCTCTGGGGTTTATAGTCTCTCGATGATCCTGATGCCCGAGGTGGCGCCGTTCAAGTACCAAAAGTTTATGATTGGGTTCATCGGCACGTGTATTGCCGTGGCGGGCGTGTTGGGTCCCCTTTTGGGCGGCGTCATCACTGAGTACAAGACGTGGAGATGGGTATTTTGGATTAAGTGCGTTTCCTTTCTCCGTGTTCCCCGGAAAAGTGTGCTGACTGGTGTAGTGGCCCGATTGGAGGCACCTCGGCCCTCCTGTTTTACTTCTCCTGGCCGCCGCCGAGCCAGCTGCCCCCTTTCCGCAAGAGGGGGTGGAGTAATGTGGACTATTTGGGATCGTTCCTCCTGTGAGTTGATTTGAATGGTAATGCCATGCCCGCTGACCGCGTATAGGGTTGCGACGGCTGTTTTGATTGTCTTTCCCTTCCAGAATTCGGGGAGTAGGGCCAACAACTGGGGTCATGCCGACTTTATCGCGCCCCTGGTCATGGGCGTCGTCTGTTTAATTACTCTGCTGCTTTGGCAAGTGTACATTGCTCGTTACCGGCCGCGGATGGCGGCCGCGATCCCGATGGAGCTTCTCTGCAACCGCGTGTACCTAGCAACGGTGCTGAACACAGTGCTTCTTGGGTTTCCATATCTGCTCTCAGTCTACGTCTTCCCGATCCGGTTCCAGATCGTTAATGGGAAAACGCCTCTACAAGCAGGCGTCCTGCTGCTTCCGATGCTGGGGGCGACGGCCTTGGGCAGCACCATTGGCGGGGTACTCAATGGCAGGCAAAACCGGCTAGCCGAGACACTGGGCGCCGCGGCCATCCTGATGCTGATCGGCTGCGCGCTCGAGACCACGGCCGGCTATGGCGCGGCGATCGAAGCCAAGGTATTGGGGTTCGAGGCGTTGATAGGTTTCGGTTTTGGCCTTTCGGCTGCCGCATCAACCATGGTGGCGAACGTGGAGTCGACGGTTAAGGAGCACGGTATGTTTTTGTCAAACCACGTAATCTACGATACTAACATGAAAAAGCAACGGCGCAGGGAATTGTGGCGCAGGTACGAGTGCTCGGAGGAAGTATTGGCATTGCAGCGTCGTCGGCCATCCTCGGCACCAAGCTCGACGCCCGACTTCGGGGAGTCGTGGACCCTGGCCAGCTCGCCCACTCGGCCCGTGGTATTTCAGATTTGAGCCCGGAGCAGCAGCTGGCTGTGCGCGAGGTGTATACCGACGCGCTCTGGGAGGACATGGTAGTGTGCAGTGCTCTGTCGGCCCTGGCGCTGCTGGTTGCGTATGGCGTGTACCGGAAGAACCGACTAACCATCTCGGAGATGCAGCAACAGCGGCACCAGAAGTTTCAAAACTCGCTCGGCGCGCAAGGCCCGGCCGGTTGGGGGGAAGCGATTGAACTCAAATCTCCTGCTCTGGATATTTGAGTAAGCCACTTTTTCTTGGCACGCAGGCAGTTTCCTATTGGCCCGCAGAATCAAAGGCCATACAAAATCAGTCCGTGCGTGCCAAGAAAAAGTGGCTTACACCAAAATCCAGAGCAGGAGATAGACAACGTTTTCGTCTTGCACAGCAATGGCGTTCGTTCAAAGCGGGTATAGATAAACAGATTTTGGTGTATCGATGAGTTGGTCATATCATTTTTAGAAGGGGGGCGGCGTTATCTCCGAAAACAGCGGGATCAAAAGGGTGTTACCATGCGGGGTTATGCCGTGGTGTTGCGGGGCAAACGGGAATTAGTGCTTCTTTGACCAGTGGACCTGGTTATGGCGTCAGCTTGTCTACTACTACTCTTTGCAGTTATCTTGTGTGTGGGTGAGAGAGAGAGAAAAGATAAAATAACAGCGATTTGAGTCTTTCTTTTCCACCGTCCATGTTCTCAGCCTCGTTCTCATCCGCTCGGATCACACTCGGCTTCCTGACCCGTTCTCGTCCTCGTCCTCGTCCTCCTCACCCTGCCCTCGTCTCTATACTACCAACGCTCCTCCAGAAAAGCAACAAGCCCAGGAAAATGTCTTCATCATCAACAGCGGCGGCGAAACGCCTAGCGGGCAAGACGATCCTCATCACGGGCGCGTCGTCGGGCATCGGCCGGTCGACCGCGTTCGAGTTCGCGCGCGCGCAGCCGAACGATCTGAGGCTTATTCTTACTGCGCGGCGGGTCGAGGCGCTGCGGGAGATTGCGGCTGAGATCAAGGAGAGTGTTGGTGAGGGAGTCAAGGTTCTGCCTGTTCAGTTGGATGTTAGTAAGGCTGAGGAGGTGAGGGGGTTTGTGGAGGGGTTGGGGGAGGAGTGGAGGGGGGTTGATGTGCTTGTTAACAATGCGTGAGTTTTTTTTTCTTTCTTTTTCTTTTTTTGAGTGGGCTTGTTGGTGTTGATGGGGGGTGTATGGGGGGTGTATGGGGGGTTGGTTTGCGGGTTGTCTGTTGTCTGTTTGTGTGTTTCTGGTTGGGGTAGGCAGAGAGAGAGAGAGAACCAGAGAAAGCTGACATGGAGAGGTTTCTTAGGGGTCTGGTCAAGGGAGGTATGTATTCTACGGAGCTGCCGGAGGGACGGGACCGTCGACATAGCCTCCTCCCTCTCCTTGTTATACTGATATGAACTAACATGGAGAAAAGTCGCCCAGGCTCCCAACATCGCCGAGGAGGATATCAGCGTCATGTTCAATACCAACGTCACCGGGTTGATCAACATGACGCAGGCTATCCTGCCTATTTTCCTGGCTCGTCCTGATGGTGGACGGGGCGATATTATTAACATTGGTTCGTTCGTTCTTTACTGCGTACTTGTCTCTGCTGAGGTAAAGATGGCGGCGGCTTACTTACACGTCACGGAAAAACAGGCAGCATCGCTGGCCGCGAGCCCTACGCCGGCGGGAGTATCTACTGCGCTACCAAGGCGGCCGTCCGGGCGTTCACCGACAGTCTGCGCAAGGAGCTGATTGCCTCGCGCGTGCGGGTCATGGAGATTGATCCGGGGCAGGTGGAGACTGTATATTTTCCGTTCTATTCTCTCCAATCTATCTGGTGAGTGGGTTGCTAATGTGATGGTATAGGAGTTCTCGGTCGTGAGGTTCTATGGGGACAAGGCCAAGGCGGATGCTGTTTACGCGTGAGTTTATCATCCTCTTTGCCTCCGTCGATATGGTAGGGTTTTGCTGAGACAGGAAAAAATGCGAACAGTGGGTGTGACCCCCTGACGCCGGATGATATCGCCGAGGTGGTCGTCTTTGTTGCCTCGAGACGGGAGAACGTCGTTGTTGCGGATACGTTGGTCTTTCCGAGCCATCAGGTGAGTTTTTTTTCTTGGGTTGGAGAGGAGGTTTGTTGCTGATGTGATATTGATAGGCCGGTGCTGGTGTTTTGTACCGGAAGCCGACGTAGGGGTTGCAAAGGGCGTGGAAAAGAGATCAGTTTGCGGAAGGGAGACGGGTTGACCGTCTGGCTTGCTCTACTTGGGTGTGTTGATAGACTCGAGGAAATGACATAAATTGTACCGTGGCACTAGACGAGCGTATCGGAGGATATGTGTGGGTGACTTGTACATCCCCTAGGACGCGACTGAGCCAAAACTTGGTACTCTCCTGGATAGATATCCCACGTTCATATAGACGACGCCCCAAGTACGTAGTACTAGACTATCCTGGAATACATCCCGTACAGTAAGCCCGGAAGAGGCACCTTTCGAATGGTAATTGCAAGTAATGAAGCATGGAATGACATCCAGAACAAAAAATAGCCGCTCAGTGGTTGTGGACAGGTGCAAACCGCCAACTAGTCCAACTATACCTACACAATCGTTTGTTTCTTCAACTACCCATGATCCTCTTAGCACCCGTTAACCCAGTTCAAACACCTTCTTCCATAGATAGAGACAAAAAAACCCCCAACAGAACAGAACCCCACCCCCCTCCCCAAAATATCCATTGTACAAAATACAAGGGAACCAAAGAAACATGAGTGGGACCAGCCCGATACTTCCCGATCAGCTCGGAAAATCTCGCCTTCCGCTTCTTGGTAGGCTTGGTAGGGTACCCCACCCCGCCGTTACAGATAATAACCTAAATTACGGCCCGTCACATCAATCCATTGGTTGTGTAGTGTAGTGGTTATCACATTGGATTTTGATTCATTCAAACTCCTTCCAATAACCCCGGTTCGAACCCGGGCACGACCTCATTCGTACCTGATTTTTTCCCGTCTTTATTTTTTGTTTTCCGAGGTTTTCTCGTTCAAACTCCATAGAGTAAATCACACATTTCTTTTTTACGCGCAACAATGTAACCCAATGACTGATACGAATACCACGCAGGTAACTCCGTAATGCTTCATTTATTTATCCTCAACCTCTACATCTACTCCACGCTGCACTATGCATCTGATGATATCCCTTCTCCCTACCGTCAACTACCTCAAACACTTCCCTAGACGTCTCCCAAGACACCTCCCCTACAGGCTGTCCGAAAACTTCTCCTTCACGGGTGTCGCCGGTCCCCGTGACTGCCGCGACATGCTATACGGTGCCTAGACACGCACGTCAGCGAGATAATAACAATATTCACACGCAAAACTTACCAAAACTTGCTTGGCATTGCATATCCTCCACGCCAGCCGATTGACATTCCCATCCGCGGCCACCACCTGCGGCGCAAACTCGATGCCAAACATGTGGCGGATCGCATAGACAACCCGCCTGGGATACTTGGGATCCCGCTCGACATGCTTCCCAAACGGCTCGTCCGTCGTGTTGGGCGCAATATCCGGGTCGCGGTCGAGACAGTTCTGCACAACGGGCAACAGCGCAGCGGCAATCTGGGCCTCGAGCTGCGCGTTCGTCGAAGATGATGACCCCGCAAACGACACCTCGCCGTCATCCTCCTCCTCATCTTCAAACTTGCCGATGCGCACTTCGAACGGCTCCGAGATGGACATGACGTTGTGGCCGCCGGCGTGGTGGTACCGGAACTCGAAGACGCCCTGCGTCCACCACAGCTTGTCGCCCTCGAATACCATCTCGCCCTGAACGAGATCGACGTCGGCGCCGGCCGGCTTGGCCGTCACGGGCACGTCCGCGGAGACAATACCCTCGTCCGTCGTCCTGTCGTATTGCCCTGGGCAGGTCGGGATCCAGCGGCCGAGCGAGGGAACTTCGGTGGAGTCGCGCGAGCGGTTGTCCGTCACCATGTACAGGCCGATCCAGTCCTTCTTGCTGTGGTTCGCCGGGGCCGTCCACTTGACGCGGATCGGAGCGCCATACTCGAAAGCCATGGTCTTGACTGCCTTGGGCACGCGCGCGCTGGCGCTTTCCTTGGCCGTCGCCTTCTCATTTGCCCCAGTCAGCGGCGTGCCGTCCATGGATAGCGAATAATGCTTCGGGTCGTAGCCGGCTACTTCGGGAGAGATCCTGCTGAGCGTCAGACGAGCCGGATACTTGTTGAACAGGGCCGATGTGTCCCGGGCGATGGTCGAGGAGCCGGCGGCCAGCTTGGAGCGCGCTGTCTGCACGAAATCGTCGACAAAGTGCTTGCCCTCGTCGAGAACCTTGTCCACGCTCTGCTGCCACTCCTTGACCGGGTCCGGGAGAGAACGTTTGATAAACTTGGTCAGGCCGGCCTCCTCGCGGAGATTCTGGCCGTAGACCTTTTGCATATGGGGCTTTTCAACGTATGAGATGAAGCCGAGCGTCAGGATATGGCTAACGAGGGCCATGACAAAGATGGCCCGGCTCCAGGTGATGAGCGCGGCGCCCCACAGACCGGCGGTACCAATAACGCGCTCGGGGTTATTGAGGAACCGGTAGATGGACGTATAGGTCAGCTTCCCGGTGCTATCGAAGAAGAAATCCCCATAAAACCATCCAAACTCGCCCAGGGACTCGTAGATGCTTGATGCCGTCCAGGCCTGGAGCGCAATCAAGCTGATACCAATAACGTGCTTCAGCAGGACCCAGCCGTAGCCCCAGTCTACCGGCAGGTTGTACATCTTCCAGCAGGCGGCGATGAACGAAGCATGGCAAAGGGTCATGCTGAGATGATACATGCCCTTCCACTGGCGCCAGGCCTCGTCCGCGCTCTCGCCGTACTTAACAAAGTGCCGAGTGAACATCTTCTCCTCAGACTGCCTCGTGAGAATGACACCAAGACCGACCGAGTACCACAGCCGCCATAGAAGCGCGTGGATCACAAAAATGGCCTGGTACACGGGCGTGTTTGGTGTCACAGCTGTAAAGGCTACCAGATAGCCAACGAGCAGCAGCACCGAATAGTCGGTCGTGCGGTAAAGATCAAGATTCTTCAAGCCCAGGAGGTTGTGGACAGGAGCAGGCGTTTCCCTGGGTCCGTCGGCGATCTCATTCGTTGTCACATCCGACTTGATGCTCTGGGCCCGAATGCGAGGCGGCGGCGGGTTGTATGTTTTCTCGATATGAGGGTTCTCAACGATCTGCAGGAAGGCAAACTGGGCAGCGTGCGCGAGGATCGAGATGAACAGGACATCATAGCTCGCCGCCATCATCGAGATGCCGTAGAACCCCGCATACCCGATAGAATACATCGGATGAGGGGCCATCTCGAATACACCGTCGAAAGTGAGCTGCTGCTCAATGAGATAGAAGAAATCTGTTCCGTCAGTCCTGAGCCGTATGCCAGAAAGTTCGACTTACCACCCCAGTACCAGGCGTAATCCTTGACAACTCGGTGAGCATCCAGCTTCACCCACAGATTAAATCCAACGAGCAGGACGCCGATAACCCAGCGTGCGATGGTCGTGACAACGGCCTCTCCGAGCGGACGGTGAGAGCATATGATCGCAAACAGGCAGTACGACACAAAGTCACACATGAGAATCAAGTCTACAACCCGGCGGAAGACGAGCCACGTGTTGTACTCGATCGGCGCGCTGTCGAACTTGTAGTCCTGGGGAATCTTGGTCTCGAGCTCGTCCTTGAGCAGCTGGTACAGCCAGGGGCGGGGATTCCGGCCCGTTGAGGGGTCCTCGAACAGCTTCCACCGCTTGGCCCATGTTACCAGCAGCTTATAGTTGGACTGCACGGTCAAGAGGTAGCCGATGCCCACGTTATAGGAAGCTCGCCAGAACAGGAAAATGGCGGCAAACACGGGGCGCTTGAGCCCCGGCGGCAGGTAATATGCCGCAACGATATGGAGGGCGAGGATGGCGAGGACGATGGCGTCGGATATGTTTTTGGGCTCGCGGGGGTCGAGCAGCTGTGAGACCATATCATGGGTGGTGGGCACGACGAAGACTACGCCGTCCCGGTCAGCAATTTGCTCCGGCTCCGGGAGCCCGGCCTCGGCTCCAATCGGGGGGAGGGGCTACGTACCCGTTCCGCCGGGGGTGCGCCCGTACGTCTTTGTCGTGGTCCTTGGCTCGCCATTGACCTCGTCCGAAGCCTTGGGGGCGCCGTTGGCTGAGTCTGCCGCCGTTGTTCCCTTTGTCCGGTGGCGGACGGCGTCCAGCCCCGCCGAAACGTCGGCCGAGGTGCTCATTGTCGCGCTCGTGGTCCGTGTTATCGATATTCGCCGTGTCTTCAGCAGAAATACATAACAGTGTTGAACTGTCGTGCGGGTAGGACCATGGGGATCACACGACCACGCGGGCAATGGGCTAGTTATGAAGGGCCTGCGGTTATTGGCCGTCAGGTTGCGTCCCGCGTTGGTGGATAGCGCCTCCGTTAACGGCCCTGAGAGCAGCCAAGCTTCAAACAGCAGCAGCAGCAGCCAGATGTGCCGTGTCTGCGTAGGTAGTACCTATTTCCCGCCGGCACTGAGTGCTGTCGGATTTGATGCAGGTGCTGGAAAAACGACGTCAGCTACCGGGTGGCGGATGTAGCTGTCACACTTCACGGGAATGTCTAAGGTTATGTTTGGTGGGAGGGGAGGAATTGGCAGCTAGAAATCCAAACCCAACCCGACCGGGATCCCTGAATATTTCTTCACATGCCCCATTGGAGTTTGTGGGTTTTTATCAGTCGCCTGTCCTTATCGACCACTCAGGAATGCGACGACAGACCACGAGATCCCCGCCGCTGCGGGAGCGGCGCTCGGGAGATGCTGGCTACGTGTCCCACCCTTTTGCGGAGAGCTGCAAGTCCTGCCCTTCAACCCTGAATCGGCGTCGGTGCCCTGGCGAGACCCTGATGAGATCCCGATAACCTTAACTGCTTGGTGTCGGATCGGAAGAGGGACAACCTGCAAGGTACCGGGCCAGCCTAGATAGGAATACCGTCTGGCCAGTGGCCGAGTCGCACGCTCCAATCTCATCAGCCTGCAGCCGATATCCAACGGGCAACGCGCCTGATTGGGTTCCGACGTGCTTCTCTAGCCGTGACTCAGGACGGGAAAGAGGTGTGGTGTTTCGTCCGAACAACGGTTCCGTCGAAACGCATGACATCCGCGGGGTTCCCAGCAGGCGCACACCATCACATCGCGGGTGTAGGCGATGGCATTAACCTCTATTTTGCCGCGTCGCTCGTCGAATCCGGTGGCATGGCCAGGCAAATATGAAGATCCTATAAGGTGAGCTAGACGGTCAGCCGGCGGTGGATTTCCTTGTGCCTTTTATTCTCTGCTGTTCTACCCTCTCGATGCGATTTCAATTCTCTCGTCGTCCGAGTATTTACCAGTCTCGGCCTTGATACACCATGCCTTCGAGCGTCTCCCCAACAACGCCCCAGAGGCCGGAAAGGCCATTGCGACCGAGCTATTACAGCAACTACTCGGTCGACAAGCCGCTCCCGAACCCGGGACCCCAGAGGCCGGGCACCTCGGACACGGCCGACACGGCGCAGCTGCAGCTCCACATCCGACGCATGTCGGAGGAGCTCCGGCAAGCCCAAAAGACCGAGCGCTTGTACCGGGCGCGGAAGCGAGTCAATACCGGCCGCGCCAACCGGACTGAAGCGAAGAAGAACTTCAAGGAGTCCGTCCAGCACTTCTCGCTCGGACTGCGCCTGACCTGGGCTGTCCTGGTCGGCATGCCTGTTTACCTCTGGGAGAAGCAGAAGTTGCGCGGCCAAACCCTTGCTGATTCACCCGCTTCGTCACCGCGGAAGAGCAAGTCAATGAAGGAAAAGGGCAAGCTTGCCGACAGAGATGGAACGCCTGAAGAGGGGCGGGAGGCCAACACCAAGCTGGAATGACCTGGTGGAAGTCATTGCTC